AGTGCAACCCGTTTGTTGAACGTGGCTTGAAAAGGGCAAGGGCTACATGTAAGCGAAAACCAGGATGAGGGCTTGTCATGCTGAAAGTTTCTGTTCTATTCTTGGGTTTGCCATTCATCGAAGCCCCGTCTGGCCTATCGAAAGTATCACTTGCAGTTTTCCAGGAAATTCACCCGCGTATGATTTATGAAACAATGGAAACGAGCATGAAGGCCATTTTTAAAACGGGTTTATTCAATTAGCGGGTGATTATAATCATATTAGAAACGATGACCTAAAAATCGACTCGAATATCTTCCGAATAATATGTTTTTACGGTCTTGAATGCAATGACATGATCATAATTTCCAATACTGACGGTATAATCGCTGTGTATTTTTTAAAATAGTTGATTAGTTTCGCACAAAAAGTTGCTTGAGTTCTCCTTGCTTGCAAATTATTCTTCAAATGCGGATTTCACGTCAGTAACAGCATCCACACTTTCCTGTATAGCAAATTCTAAAACAAAAAAAGCTGCTAAAGCACATGGATGAATAAAAAATATCTAGAACTCGATCTTGGAATTCTGCCATATTGCATTCTAAGATTTCTTGACTTCATTTGACTCATCTTTCGGAATAAATAAAATATTTTGTGGAATGTATTTTCTTTTAATTTTATTATCCATATGCAGCAATTTTCTGTTTCCCAGATGGATTTGGGTTGGGTGGGGAGGGGGTTTGGATGTGGGAATGTTTATTGAACTTTGTGAATGCTGAAAAGCAGAAAGTAAAGCTTTCTGTTCATACATTCATTCCAAATAAAAGGTCGACCGATCAGAAAAGATATTTGCTCGAATTGAAAAAAATAATTCAAATTATAAACAGCCAACCACGAAAACTTTCCCGTCATTCGGAATTCTATATGCCGAGACTCGAAAATAGTAAGACAATTTTCAAGATGCCAATAAGACGAAAAATGAAACGCGAAAAATGTCATATTTTTTGTTTTGTTTTATATCCGGTTCATTAGCATGAACATCATCATGAAACATGTCTCGGTAATGTTGGGAACTCCTCGATACATGTCAGAGCTTTGAGCATACAAGAGGAATCATTCCGAGTTGAATACGTTCAAAGGAAAAACTTCACGTGTTCTGCTATTTGCTCGTGCACGAAACTATCTTCGGCTTTCAGCCGGAATTGCACGCATTTCGAGATCAAAGTTGAAATTGCGCAGCTTTCAGCTCGAGTTCTCGGTACATCGGTGCTTCAAAAAGTTTTGACAAGAGAACCGCCCACACGAGCAAAACAGAAAATGCAGAAGCAATCTCCGAGATTCGCACTCGTCGTCGTTACAACATATGCCCGTCGTCGTATTGTCAGTGCTTTTTCAGCAGTCGTGAAGAAACTTCCTACTTCATCATCATTTCAACAAGAACAAAAGAATAAGGAACAAAGAAAAGGAAAGCCGTCGCTCTTTTCATGTCGGATCTGACGAATCTCGAGAAGGTTTTTTCCTTCTTTGTCTCTTGAAATATTCCAAGCCCTGATGCTGCTTCGCCCCTGATGGGGATAAGTTGTAAATGAACTGACAATAAAAAAAACCCCTTGAAAAAAACCACGAGGGTTAGACGTGCAGTACAGCCTTTTCCTCTCAAAATCCACGGCAAATCACATCAAGAACTGGGCATGTTCACCCGGAAATTCGATTCCACGGCAGCCTGAACACGTGGGGGCACATTTGTCAAGAGGAGACTCCGCGAATGAAGACCTCGTACGTCAGAACGGATGACAAAATATATTCAAAAAAAAAAAAACCAGGCTGTCATCATCCAAAGTAACGTACTCTACTTTAAAGATAGTACTGAAATGAACTGTTTTTTGTTTGTTGGGATAATGCATTTATTTTGCGATCAAAGAGATCAAGGACTTCAAGGTATTTTTGTACTCACCACCCAGGTAACAAAAACTCCTTCCGTCCGCCTTATCCGATGAGCGCATGATGGAAACGAGATCAAGATTCGGTTTAATCTACTGTATTTTTTAAAGTTTATGAGTACATTAAAGAGGGAATAAATCCCGCACAATGTAAGGGGCTTATATAACGTTGAAGTTCATCTCTGGTAAACATATGGCGCATCACTAAGATTCAAAGTTTTTGATGAAGAATGAAGGCGTGAACTCACCGACTGCCCATCAGACTGAGTCCGAGAGATTCCGTTACTATGGTTTTCTTCAGAACTATAGTAACAAACCGACATGGATCTGAAAAGTATATAAGAATAATGAATGAATGAAGGAACAGAACACTTAATTTGCCGCTTTTCAGTGTTCACAAGGTTCAATCAAGATTTCCACATCCAAACCCCTTTTCCCACCCAACCCAAACCCACTCAAAGACATTTAATCACTTCAAAGCAGGAAATAGAGCACAAATTGATGACAAAAATGAAAAAAAATACAATCCACAAAATACAACTGGACATCCAACATGTATGCATAGATTGCATACACCCATTCATTCCCTGACAATGAAAACAAAATATATGTAAAAATTAATTTAAAGCACAAGGTCTTCAGCTTGTTTCTGTATGAGGTTTAGTTGAATGAACAAATGAGAGAAAATCTTTGATGATAAATCATATAAGGCCAACAGTTTATCTTAATCCTTTAAGATTTCAGAAAGGGTCTCTTCATTTAATTCCAATACTTGTAAATCTTTCTCAAGCTTGTTTCTATCAGGAATAATAGCATGACATTGCTGGGATTTTTGCAGAATTGATAACCATGAATTAATTCTACCAGAAGAAATTTGCACGTTGGAAAAATGAGGATAGTGATCATATGACGCGATAGCGCGAAATAGTTTAGCACAGATCAGGTATTCATTAAGACAGAGTTATTGGAAGCTCTTCAAGGCAAAGAATAAACATAAAGCATGAAAATCCTTTTTTTTTTAGTTTTCAGCTGACCAAGGCCCTATACCTTCTTACTTGAATTTAAGTTCATTATATTCAAAAAACGAAAAAAAGAGATAAAGATAATTCAAACGAAATAGGCAACGTCAACGCCGAGAAAGGTTATTAAAATAAAAAATGAACAGCAAACAATATTAGGTAATAAAAGGAGCTTTAGCATCTCCTTGTTTTTCAGAATTTTTATCACATGTATCATGTTTCCCTAATTGACAGCTCTTGTAAAGTTGAATGCCGTAGGATAATTGATAAAACAAAATTTTAGATAATGTGAATAAGCATTCATTTCTCCTAACTTTCAGGCTTTTTTTAAAAATAACAAATCAATAATTTCTTCTTCATATGCTCACAAACTTCAGACCTCAGGCCTTCGAATTCTTTTCCGCTTAATTCTAGCAAAAAAAAAGTTTCCTCCGATTACCATCACGTTTATTTTTTATTTTTCATAAATTATCTCGAAAGTTCACAAGTTATTGCGCAATATAAGAACTTTGTCCTAACTCTTGTCAATTTAATTATTTCAACAGATGAATAGAAGGGTTTGCCCTATTGACGATGGAATCATGTACAGTTTTAGCCTCAAGTCAAGTGAATTACGACTGCCATTGGCAAATTCGTGTTCATACCCGTTTTCCGACTTTAAAGCAGACACTTCAAATATTGAAATTATTTAAACAATAAAAGAAAGCTCTCAGAAAAACACGTATAGTGATTATTGAAGGAACAAAAGTGCAGCGGGTGACACTCATTATAGCAGCAATTTCCTGAAAAGAGATGGGGTCGTGCAATGCGTGACGCAAAAGGCCTTCTATTTTTGTCCTAAACATGAGTGCTCCTTTATTACTGCCATTAGTTGGCTGCTTCTTCGAAAGGCGATTGAATATGTCCTTGGACATCGCAACATGCAAACTCAATGGGGGTGGAATGAATCTGGTGTGTTCTAAATGAAGAACATGCGAATCAGAATAATTGGCTCTTCGCTGGTAGGAAGACTCGCGGAGAGAAAATGAAGCTGTTCTTTGGGGCTTCGAGGATATTAAAAGTAACGTTTTTTTCCCTCATCGTCCTTCTGTGCGAAATGAAACATCTGCAAACGCGGATTTTGCGAAAGTTCAGCAGTTGTTCAGCATATAAAAATGAGTTATTTTCACGTTATTCTCCAAAATTCGACCGGAAACTCTGTAACTTCTGCATTCTTTACCTACAGCACTTTTGACTGTATTTTCAACTTTCTGCTTGAATAGCCGACCGTTCCACAACATCCTTCAAACTTTTTTCAGAAGCGTCACGGGATTAACGGAAGATAGTTACTGTACTTCAATGTAGCAATTGAAGAAGAGTTTCATGGAGTTCCTTTCGAAGGTTCAACTGAGTTACTCGTTTTTTTTTTTTAAACAGGAAATAGCCGACTTTTGGGACGACGAAACTTATTCTTTGCGGTGCGTGGAAGACAATGTTTTCAGGTTGATCGAAAATTATTTAATTATACGACTTTTTCGGGTTCTTCAAGATAGTTTGTGGAAAAATTAAATTTACCACAGCAATGCGATCTCGAAAATCGTTTCTAAATATTTCGCGTTTCCGCGATTACTATTATTCTTGATTCTCATTTTCCAAGTGCGGCATTCGCGTTATAATAGTGCTGCTTTTTGTGGAAATGAGTGCAAGCAATCCTGTCGCTCTCCTCAATTGCTGGAACGCTCACCATTATTACTCCAGAAACTGCACCGCACATTCTTTGCGAGAAAAAAATTGAGGAAAAGTATTTCCATTACAGTAAAACGTGAAATGAATTTTTAATGAGCTCCTTTTATGGGAGCATCATTCCGGAGCAACAAATCAACCAAGTTAAAGGATCCGCATTTCTCCCGAGTTTGAAGTAACACAATTTCAAGAAATAAAAAAATCAGAAATGCTCAGGTTGATCTCATGAAAAGATTTCAAATTTTAGATTTCAGGATTCATTATAATGCTGTTTATGCCGATCATGTAACTACATGGATAACTTAAAGTTATGAATGAAAATACTGCATGTCGGAAAAATGAAAACTTGGTTGCGGATTAGACTCTACCGGCATTTACAAAAATCTGCAAAAAAGTATCCCTTTGATTGATCCGTATTTCATCCCAAAAGTCCATGCCTAATAGTCGCAAAAAAGGCTCCAAAACGACTGGTTTTATTTCTGAAATGTCTGCGTCATTTGCAAATAAAATTTAATTATAGTTTTAGCATGCATTTCACGTGCCGACGACATAACATTGTGGCGAAAATACATCCGAAATTTTGTCGTGCGTGACGCGCACAGCAATTATGTTTCAATCGGATTTTTTCAAGAAAATAGCGTGTGTTACACGAGTATTAACGAATCGGACTTTAAAAGTTTCACTTCCTACATACAGTGTGTCTTGAAGCAAAGGCAACAAAGTTTGGTCTGAATTTTGTCACAAATTGACAGGTAGTTTAATATACCTCGCATATGTTCGCGTTGGGTATACATGCAAGAAAGCGACTTAATTTTTTAATATCCAGAATCATTGCAGAAAAAATAAAAGTCCAATACAGTACATCCGAACCCGTGCTTTTGCATGACGCACACCTAGTTTTTTTTTCTGAAATTTTAGAAAGGAAACAGCGGGTGTCACAGGAGTAATAATGACGTAACAATAGTTCGATACACAGAAAAAAATCGTTGTTGACAAAGAACGCTGCAGAGAGAAGAGCGAGAGGGAGAGAGTCCACCTGCTGTACATTATCGTATAATTTATCTGTTAATATCAAATGAGTACTTGAAGAAAAATACGAATCTTTGATTCGAATTTTATTGGCCTCGGAGTTGAGGCTGCGAAAACTTTCCGTTGAAACCAGCCTCATATATATATTGCCGTTTATAGCCGAGTGCAGAAGATAGGAATACCTTCATCGGTGACGAACAGCACTTCTGGGTTTTCTCGCAACACGCGGAGCTTCACGGGTGACGAGGCCTGTCGCAGGGCCCGAGCAGCCTGCAGCTGTGTGCACGTCCTCAGGGACACATCATTGACTTCCAGCAGAATGTCCCCGAGTTGCAGACGACCATCTCTGCTGGCTGCGCCTCCAGGATCCAGTTCCGACACACACACAGTTTCCTGCAAAAGTAAACCCGGGGAAAATTGAAGAGGACAATGTGCAGGGTTTAATCTCCGGTTCCGCGTCTCAGAAGGGTTACTTATTATTGTAGGGTACCCGACTTGTCGCCTTCGATTCCTTTCCGCGGCTCTTACGCCATTTTTATATATACTGTACGACTGTATACCGTACATGTGCGTGCCTTGTTCACTGCTGGATGAGTACGAAAAGTCATCCATTGCGAGACCGTCTCCATTTTTTATGACTGCCTCCAGAAGAAGAATAAGAGAAAAAACCTTGATTTTCTTTGCAAAAGTAGGACTTATTTTTGTAACAGTCCGGTCCCAAGAGGTGGACGTGGAGTTATTACGGTAATTCTTGTGCTGTGTCCCTGTATGTCGAAAAATCTGCATCAACGATCACATTTTCTCGTCGTTTTCAATGTGAACATGCTTGAAAAAAAGGGGAAGAAGTCTTTGAAATTTTTTTTTTCACTTTGAAACGTATAGAAAATAAATTAGGAAAAAAATCAAGCAACAGATGCCCTTCTAGCAGAAAATGGAGTTTAAACTGCAAAAAGTATATTGCTGTCTAATTTTTGTGAAATTTGAAAAATATTTCTCATTTGAGCACGATGTTACCCCCAAATTTTTCTCCCGATGTTTGGGAAAAAGTGCGCAGATTACTCGTGTTAATACAATATTATTTCCTTTTGAAATCGGCTAGGGATATATTTATAATTATTGATCAAATTTTCAAGCAAGACCTTTTCATAATCCTGCAAATTAAATACAATTGGCTGTTTTGCGAATTCTTTGTAGTTACCATAATAAATCATGTCTTGAGAAGCTTAATTTTGTCAAATCGAGATTAAAATATGTTTCAAATCTTATGGGGTAATTCTGGATCTCCGGGTTATGTTTCAAAACTGCTGTACACTTTTTCGTTCAATTCCCAGGTAAGCAAAACTTTATTGAGACTTTTAATAATCAGTTGCATTTTTCATTTTTGGGAAAGAAATTCGGCCAAAACATCAAGGCTTAGATGTAGTTAACATTTTTAAATACCTATAAATAACACGTCAACCTTCTTTCCCGAAATTTGACTAAAAGATAATGGATAGGTGATCATGAATTCAATAAAAAAGGGTGCGTCGGAGTGGATGATTTAGAATAAAAACAGCACGTGAAATTTTATGGTGATCATCAGAGAAATTGAGACATTCTAGACAAAATGATTATTCTGTGGACAAATAGGTATTTTTCCGCTATATTCTTGGAATTGCGCATCTCATTGAAAAACGCATCTGTCTTATTATAATCACAGTTCTTTTTTTCATAAGAAATTTTTCTTTGCAATCATCCGAAAAGTTTTCATTCATGGACGATTTATTACATAACTGAATTAATTAGACTAAGTGAAATTTCTCGATGACAGATCCTTTCAATTCCCTATCAAGACATAAAACATACCGCCATGCGTAAGAGAGTGCATTTCGGAAAAGAAATTGCATTTTTTATGAAAACAAATTGGCAGCACGGTCTTGCTGTTAGTTTCCTTCGTGATAACTGGAAATGCGTGAAACTGGGGGAATTCCATTTCGGTCTAAATATTTTACTCTTCTTTTCTTCAAGCCCGGCCTAGAGATGAAGGAAAAAGGACGTGACATTCTATATGGAGAGGCTCGATTCGGATAATCTGCTTTCGTGTGGAAATCATCCCCACACCTACTTTTCGGGTTGAATACCTCGACCCGCGTCTTCCAATTTCTTGAATGAAAGCACATGAACGTTGAGAACGAGATCGACTATCTCTTGAAGCCCTGATTCATTCGATTCGGAATTACGTGATCGACTGAACAGATGGATGTGTGTCGTCATTTCAGGGAAAGCTGTTCTTCATCAGCGAAATTATATTAAAAAAAAGGAATTTTCTCTACAATCCTGCATCTTCTTCGGACGACGACGTAACAGTTCGAACAGTTTGTCGCTGATGATAAAAATCGCATTTAATTTGTTTTTCCAAGTTTAGCAATGACAAGGAGTAAATCTTTGAATCGCTATTCCAATTATTCATAACTATAAAGGTAAATTGGAATCAACGTGGAAATAAAATTCGAGATACTGCAATATTTCGCAGTTCCGGACATTGACCTCAATTCGAGCCCGGGTTTTATTACCAGGTTGGATCGATTCAGGTACAAAATCCTCGGCAGGAGTGACTGCATAGATTCGCATCGCGTTTTGGAAAACGTGTACAAAAAAAAAGGGTTTCCACTTTCTTCAATAGAATTTAATGATATAATGTGTTTTTGATGTGCTCGTCAGTTTTTATTATACAAGGAAGAGTTCAGCAGCTGACTTACGAAGAATGTGTTGCTTCCACCCACGATTCCAAGTCCGAGTCCATTTTTATCCTTCTTCAAAACGATGCTGGTTTCCACGAAATCTTCAATTCTCGCCAACGGGACTGAAAGCAAAAATAAGAAAAAAAATTAGAGGAACGTGATAAACAGGCTTTCCTGCTATTGACTGCGCTGAAAGAAATTGAATTGTGTCCAAGCATGAAAGATGAAATCCCTAAGTCGTGGTCTCTCACAAACGTGCGATTTTTGTGTGACCAAAAGTTAAACTTTGGATTATTTTTAGTGCTGTTAATTATAAGAAATGCGGCCGCACATTTTCTCTCAACAGGGTCTTTCTGAACGAAATTTTTCCTAGTTCCCTGTGTTTTTCATCCAAAAATTCCAAAAAATCTCAAATCTGATTTACATTATGAACTTTCCGCTTTATAAACGCTCCCGTTTCGTTTCGCGTGAAGCATTTGAGCTAAAAATTTCGGATATGCTTTCAATTCCTTTTCGAATCAGAAATCTAAAAATAAATCATGAAATCCCCGATTTATAAGTGCTTCCGTTTTGTTTCACAAAAAACCTTGAGCTAATGTTTTCAATGTCTTCTTGAATATCAATTCTAAAACAATTGGGAACTCTCCGAGTTATAAGCGCTTCCGATATGTTTCAGACAAAACATTGACCTAAAATTTTCGTATAAATCTCAATTCCAAGTGTTTCTAAAAAAAAGAAGTACAGTATTGTAAAAATACACAGTCTAACACAGGAAAGAAACTCAGTTGCTGAACCCACTTTCAATAATGTTCACATCCATCCTTCCTGGCATTCTGTATGCAGTCACGTTCCGAAGCACTTACATATTGTTTGCACAAGTATGGTCGATTATATTGGTACACTCTTTCTGGCGGGAAAACACCGTGTGTATATCGGAGGAAAAGACATATACCTTTTTTTCTCCGGGATATTCCCTTCGAATAATCGCTATAAGTGCTCGGCAAATTCGTCTCTGGTTGGAGAAGCACGAAACATTCCTTTTTGGACCTCACTTGAAGATATTCTTCTTACAGTGCGTGATTCAATCAATCGCTTTTCTTACATGAAGAAAAGGCAAACTTTTTTGACGCATACATCGTAAAATGTGAAGCAGGTCAGCTTTTGCTCGGGATTTTAAAAAGCACGAAACACACGGCGAGGTCTCGACGAAGTTAGCTTCTAGGGAAGAATTCATCACAGGTATCAAGGGATTCTGAAAGTATTCACGTTCATAAGTTATTAAACTTTTTGATATTGATCCAACGGAGTCCCAACCATTACAAACAAAATTTCACTCGCATAACCCCATCACCTGGCAACACTTCAGTGCCAGTGCTGTTCGACATAATCTCCGCCGATTTCAATTTACTATATATTTTTTTTCATGCAACAAATCCAACGATCAAAACATTGCCAAAAATCGAGTTCCGATATACAGTAGTTAATTAATCTGAAATTCGAAGCGTGAATGAGGCTGTTCTCATAATCAATTCATTTCAGGTCGTTCTTTAACGTCAGGAACTGCCAGAATTGACAGGGTGCCTACAATCAACTAACAGAACTCGATTTACGACACGTCTATTTGTATTGTTGGGTATATGGCATGAAAACATGCATTGAAATCAGCGGAGTATGTTGAACAGCGCTGAATTGTTGCCAACCAATGCGGCTATGCGAGTAGCATATTTTTGGAATCGTTGAAACTCCGTTGGATTTATTTCAAAAATTCGAAAAATTCACGAACCAACCCTCGTATAAACGCTTTTTTTTGCATCTCTCTTTCGGCACAATGCCCGGACTTTTCACACGCGGAAAGCTCTCCAGCAATCCTAGAACCGAGACCACAATATTTCTCAAGTTAAGAGCATTTCTCTGGAGAAAGCACGAAGAAGTGCCTTTTTCCCCCCCCCCCGACTCCGCAGAATGATGAATAAGCAAGTCACGTGGGCGAGCTGTCAAGTTTCCCTCCCCCATGGAGGGTTAATCCCCGCAGGTCTGCGAATAACGTGATGCATTCTTGTGCCTAATTCCGTCGCAAAAACGACCTTGAGTTTTCTGGGGAAAATTTCGCATTGCGGAGGAGTCTTTGTTGCTTGCTGCGGAAAATCCGCAGGTAAACTTCAAGCAGCGCTGGACGATCGATATAGGCGGGTTTGCGAATGGATTGCGTGTCACCGTTGGTCGTTTTTGGCCATTTTTCATGATAATGGCAGAGCATGTAAAGGTGGACTCTATCCACAACGAAATTCAAGGGACCAACAAAAATTTCGTCATACAGATAATTTGGTGGTAAAGTATCCCTATAACATGGGAAAAGAATCCACCTATGAAAACAAAAACAAAAAATCACTTTACAAAGAAAATCTTTTTAGACAAGATCATTGTAAGAGAGAGAGAGTCCACCTATACTACAACCGCATTGTACAAATAAGTTGACCACATTGGAAATTTCACACAAAAAAAAACAACGGAGTATCACCGATTCGATCCAACAAATCACTGCACAATTTTTACTGCTAACGTCAAAAATGATCAGGAAACTTAAGATATATTATTACAAAAATGAGACCCACAATAAAAAAATTAAATATTTATATTTGTATATATTGTATTTCAACTGTCCATAAAAAGTAGAAAACTGAATTAAAACGACAGAGTTGTTGCTACAAAGCAAACAAAGTTGCATGTCGTTCAGCGCGAACTCGACTTGTCGGAAAAAAATGGTATTTGTCTTTTAAAAATAATTTATTCTCGCTCTAACTTCATCACATTCTTTGGGATATAATTTCTCAAATTACTATACACTTTGCAGATCGGAAGGAAACGGTTAAGTATACAGATAACAAAACTCATAAGTACGTAAAATTGACCATTTCAACCTGAATTTCGATATTTTCATGCTTTATTTTATTAAACACAATAAAGTTGTCAGAAAATCGATTTCAATTTTGGGGGGAGGGGATGGGAGTTAGTTTGCGAAATTAGTATTCCAGAAAATCTAATATTCTAATGCATCAATAACCGCCACCGGCATTCCACTTTCAATCGGATTTGATTGAGCTGACAATTGCCTTTCACTGAGCGGAAAATGACGCTGGGTTCGAATTTAATACCTTGCTGATATTCAATGGAACTGATGTAGAGGATCAGGATAATGTGCTAGAAATAGAATATTTTTCCCTCATATGCTGTGCATATCGTAGGAAACCCTCTAGGCTGAGACTGGGAAAATAATTATGTAATATATTTTATATAAAGGATTTATACGGCCTCCGAGTTTTCCTTTCAAATGCTTCAAAAAGCACAGGCTCTCGTTTTTACGATGAGGATCATGAATAGGTCAAAAGTGCATACCTCATATACATTCATGATATTTGCAAATAAAACGCATACTTTAATTTGTGACTGTCATTAACTAATACATTCTGGCTTCTGTGCTAATTTTAGAAAATTTGAGAGATTTTTGCGGCGATCTAGAAGAGTTTCTTCGATAAATTACAGATCACAATCATAGGATTTCCTGTTGGATCGATGCAAACTTGACGCAGAAACCTAAACGTTTGACTTGAGAGAACATGAGCAAAACATGCTTCAATAATTACATCACCAGTGTTTTTACTGCTTTAAAATGTTGGCTGTTCATTGGAGTCTTCTTCTTCCTAATCGTTGTCTCACAATTGATCCTTTTGATAACTTAATTGGATGGCAGAGATTTTATCCAAACCAATGAATAACTTCTGTCTCTCTCTAAAAACTAACAATTTGAGTACATTTAAAAATGAAGAATCGCCAAAAGTTATACGTCACAGTACTATGATCTTTTTTTATCCATTCTCGTATCCTTTTTCTAGGAAATTTTGGATTGCAGGTTCAATCCATTGCATCTAAGGGGGTTACGCTCAAAAAGTTCCATACAGACACTCAAGAATGGGTTTATATATTGGAAATTAAATAAAAATTTGAAATTGTTCCGATTCTTTGTTTTTTTGTGTGTGAGAAATCAAATGATTTTTCATAAAAGTCTATGGGAAATCATGATTTGCCCAATAAAAGAACAATTCGTTCAACGAACGTAGTGCTTGCATCTTACGTTGTACAAGGTACCACTTTGTGAGCAATATCCTTTCATATTTATAAAATTAGTACATTTTATCAATGCATTCGATCGATTCTTACGAGAAAATTTGAAGGTGTGAAGGTATGCTGAATCCTATTCTATTTAAAAATGGAACACCTATACATATAAGCGCAATTTCGTTCGGTGCTCATTAAATTTTATAATTAATGGTAAATCAATGCCATGATTGACTATCGTTGAAGATATGGTTCGAGGTGTCAGAGTTCTGCTTTTAAAACATGGTGGTTGATTCGAAATGCTTTGGAGTCCTCCCGTTAGATCATGAAATGTGAAAGCATTACAGGATTTTTAAATATTTCCTTGTAATTACAGAATACTTCCTTTCATCGACGGTCTGTGCCATGATGCCGATTTCCATTCTTTAAATGTAATTTGTTTTCCTCTCGTATTGTATTCCTTACATCCCTTCAAGTCCAAATAACTGCCTTCATCCCACTTTGAAGCCCAAAATAAAATTAAATAAATAAACTACTCATGATGGGCATTTTGAAAATTAAATAAGCTTCATTTTAAATTTTGAAGCGTGAACATTAGCGGGGAGGGAAGCATGAGTTACTCCTACGCATTGAGAAGCACTTGCAGCACTTTACCTGGTGGCGAGAGGAATTGCTGACAGCCACTTTCAGCTGCCAGCGCTTCTGGTGCTTGCATGAATGAGTCTTGCCAGTAAATACTGAATGTAACTTGATATCGAATTCCAGGAAAAAAGTAACAGCGCACACACACGCCGCTCCGGAAAGAACTATAGAAACTGAGTGTCTAGGACTCTAGGGGCTAGAAAGAGCCAGATCCAAACTCGGCGGTTGCTCGACTCGCACTGATGTGTGCCCAACACGCGGGCAATGAGGCCACCAAGTTTCCGTCTTCTTCTTCATTCCTCGCAATTCTGTCCCGCCAAGTACTGTATATATAGCTAATGCCAGTCTACTGTGCTGCAATAAATGAACTTCATTAAGAAGCTTGAATGTTTGATTGGAAGGATAGTGAAGAAGACCTGGTTCAATACAGGGAATTCCCGGGTTTCGTTGGGGTGTCGCGAAGTTCTCAATGATGCCTCCCGTAATACCCGAAATAAAAATGTGTTTCCGAAGCGTTCTGAAGTGTGCCTGATATCAATCGCAGTCGACAAATTTTTCTTTTTTTTACCCGAAATTGTCTAAAAATATATCAATTGGATTATAATTTTTGTCCGTAGTCTTCTTCGCCGGGTTCTTCGCCCATGTGTAAAAAGTCTAAAAACACATTTTTGTATCTAAAACACGAGACCTTGAAGCATAACAAAATGATACTAATATAGCCATACGTGTGCCAAGCAATAGAATATAAATTTTCAATCAAATCGGATCAGGCGTGAGCCTTTTTGAAAATAATTTTCCGACTTTGAAAGAACTGGGAAAATATATATACTGTTAATGTATGCCACGGATGGTTAATTTTCTAGTACATAAAAATACTTTCAAGATGGTTGATAATCTTTTTCTAGCTTTCCCAAAAATATTTTGTCAACTTGATTCATGTCTTGTCTCTCTTTCTGATAATTTGAAGAATATAAATATTCAAAATAACGATCGTACAATTTTTGGTTTTAAAATTTACTTTTTCACTTACAAACCTTCATTGTAAGTCGCAGAGTTGATGATTCAGTAAATTATGAAAATAAATTTACTGAGACCATAATCGGCATTTTGAACGTAGCCAAGAATCCTAAAAAATATTCAGCTACAAATACAGATTCAAGCGTGACTAGTGAACAGGCTACTGATATTTCTGCAATATCAACACCAGCGCGTGTGAAAGTATTTGTGCTGTACCGAAGACAAAAATTTCCCCAAAAAATCTTTAAAATGATCTGATGATCAGAAAGACTCTAATATTGCTCCGAATTCCAGATTTAAACCTCGAAGAAGTTGGGTTGTAAAGCAGAAATCAATCACCAAGCGCAGTGTTTGTCGTTTTTCTATAAACGAAGTAAAAAAAAATATATTTCTTGAGAATGTACTTGAAATGGGTATTTCGCCGACGAATGCACAATCAACCCCTGTGGAGCATGTGAAATCATTCAAACTTTTCGGTTGGGTTTTCAAAGAAATATCCTGCATGAATTACAGTGTATATGGGTCATGTAACGGGATGAAATTCCCTTGAGACCTCTATCCTCCAAAGAGCCAAATATCGAAAATCGATTTCCCGGGTCGTTCCTCTTGGGTA